TTTACCAATGTCTTGACGACCTGAATCAGCAGACGTTAACAAGCAGACGAGATAAGGTTGCACACTTGATGATTGTGGTGACATTGACATAAATTAGTTATTGCACATCAGACGTGGCCTTCCTGTGTTCAACGCGTTGACATCACAGTTGACCTCCGTTCTTGTTTGTATAATTACATAACAGTTAGCATCTTCACTCTACACTTTAAGACATTTAGAAAATCTAATCATTCATTGCGAATGTATGTTCCAATCCCTACACGGTAAACGCAGTTCAATCAGTCCAAGACAGTATATTTACTAATATTTAAATATTTGTCAGTTAATATATGATAATATAGACTCCAATCTTTGCATAACAATATACATACACAATCCAATCCTGAAATGCCAGTCAGTAATAACATTCAGGAATAGCATGAACATTTGTTCAACAAGCATATATTTAAAATGTACATTTGCTGAACGTGATAAAAACTCTTATATAAATTTATATGTTTAGATTCACCTGGGGTCAACAAGACAAGACAACACTGACAACAAGTGTCAAGATGATATTAACATTGAAACAACGGACATCAAGGCAGTAAGTACATTTGCAATTTACGAACAGCAATTACACATCAAATTAATTCAATATTGTAAAAATCAACTGCTGCACATTGAGTAGTCATCGCCTGTTCAGTTCATGGAATGCTCGTTATAATATAAAATTGCAGGAAAAATAAGGACAGAATTGTAAGCACTTGTAACAAAAAGTGTAATTCTAACATCTAAATTCGCTGTAACAATTGTAGAAATTTGAATAAGGTTTTTCAAGGCATTCGGGAAAAGGACGAGTTGTGTGAGATAGGCAAACATGATGTACAGAGACGCCATTTGTAACTGGAAATGACGTCACAATAACAATGGAATGATGGGATGCGGAATGATGACGTAAACAATATAGAGTGCATCAAAGTGAGAAGGCAGGAGAGGTCATATATCAACAGTATAAAATGGACAGTTTCATTAAATTAAAACCATTCTTTCTGTAACCAACCAAAAAAAAAAAATTTATTTTTCTCTTTATAGTATACTCCTTTATGTATTAGGTGAAAGTATATTTATTGACTCGCCACCCCGCTCGCCATATGTACAAGAGAATTATGCTCACGTTGCTGTGGCAGAAATATATAAGGACTTTTTCTCCCAGTGGAAGAATTTCTTCTGGGAATGTTAATAATTTGGCTGCTACAGTGTGAATTAATCAGAGTTTAAACTTTCTCTCTCTCTCTCTCTCTCTCTCTCTCTCTCTCTCTCTCTCTCTCTCTCTCTCTCTCTCTCTCCCTCTCTCTCTCTTTCTCTCTCTTTCTCTGGTTCTCTGATCTCTCTTTTTCTTTTTTCCTATTCATTATCTGCTTGCCTGTTTTTCTGTCGACTGTTTGCTTTTGCTCTGCCCCTGCCCCTCCACACACACACACACACACACACACACACACACACACACACACACACACACACACCATCTTTCTAAAAAAAATCCGACTATAACCGACTGCTACAACAATCTTTGCTGGTCGAGCGTGTGTTTCCCCAGCCGAGACCAGAAATGGCCAAACCATTTGCCACATTCCGTTTTACATAGTAAAGACCAACATGCATCAACCATCAACAATATTCGCCCATTAACATTCATTACTACATTAGAAAACAAATATTGATGCATATATTCTCGAGAAAGAGATATAAAACAACAAACAGCACAAGTTCAATTCAAAGTGCATCAAGAGGCACGTGATTTGTGGTACGATAAACAAAATAATGCATGGTACATTCAGGAGACTCTGCAAATATAATAGAATCAAGACATATCGAATCTATGTTACAAGTTCACAACACGATGAATGAAGATTCAGGCACGATTTCACATAATCATCATCGCCCATTTTCGACAAAGTGGGAAGAGTCTATGAAAACACTCCAGATGGCGATAACGATCTATTAGAATCGTTCAATGATTGTCATGGATTGTAGCTTTGGAAAAAAAGGAAAAAAAAGCGAGCGAAGAGGTGATTCCTCGTGTGGCTCCATGCACAAGCTATTAACGTGCAATTTTGTGACAAAAATAGTTTCATATTTTTCTATAACAACGCTCGTGCAGACTTCACCTCCTCCAAATACGATCTATGTATTGATTGTTCCCTTTTTTTTTTATCTAAGGAATTTCGTATTTTTAATTTTTCATGTACTGTGTGTGGTATATTCTTAACTTCCTATTATATATATATATATATATACATTTGTTCCTAGGTATGCCGGCGTCTGACGACGCTGTAAACTTTCATGATATCATTCCGTGATGATTTCATGTTTATTTCGTGAGAGACGATAACAGCTGCGCGTGCAGGATGATCTAAATTTAGCTCCACGCGCAAACAATTCTAGTTATAGGGGGTGAGGGATCGATGTTATTGAACCCTGCACCATCTTCTTCGTGACCCAGAGACCCACCCCTAAATACCGTAGAGCGATGAACAAACAAAGTCGTGTTCTATCGATCCCACTTTATTGGCCCCTATGTGTGTACATTCCTGCAAATATCACCCAAAAATCCATTGCTGCTTCTATATATCCGCGGGAATCCAATCCCAGGGTTTGGCATGACGTCATCAGAATATGCCGCGTACGTCAACGGCGAAGTTCAATCATCATCATTTTCGACGTTGTAAGGCTAAAGATTAGGAGGTTTTGCAGCAGCTGACGTCGGCAATAGTTAAACTTGTTTCTCTAGACGGCCACTTCAAATGGCTCGTAGTTGAACTTGTTTCTCCAGACGGCCACTTCAAATGGCTCGTAGTTAAACTTGTTTCTCTAGACGGCCACTTCAAATGGCTCGTAGTTGAACTCCAATACGCAATTCTGCTTCAGAATGCACAGATCGTACTTGTTTTACTGAAATATAAGCTTTTATTTAGGTCACTCGCGTGTTTGTCTGGTCAAAACGTTACATTCGTGGGTTTTTTTTTTAAAACAATTTTGTATACATCTTTCTAGCACAAATTCTGCACAATCGCTCTTTGTGGGTGAGATTGCATTGTAGCGTAATAATGTTCAGTCTTATAACTGTTTTTGTATGTTCTTTTTAATAATTTATGGTTTGTTTTTATTCTATTTACTTAATCGTTTACATACTGCGTATTTGACTAGTCATAAAATACTCTTTTGATTACGTTTCTAACGCAATTTATTGCCTATTCTTATGACGTAACACATGTATAAATGAAATGGTCTAGGAATCTGAAGATACTTTATATTGTGTCTGCTAGTTCCTGCACATGTACAGGAAACAGGACAGACACACAAGCACTTGCAATATACACCCCCCCCCCACACACACACACACACATACACACACACATGTCAAGAAATCAAACATTTAACATGAAATCAATTGCTTGAGTACACTTTGGAAATACGACAACAGCACCATGCAGATTGAACACTGTGTGTTAGACTCTGTACACATGCAACAAGATGATGTTGATTGGTGTTTGCCTGGAATGTGAACCTTATGCCATAACCAACAATAACAACATTATATAAAGATGTATGCATTTTCTGACCGTCAGCCACATCCATTGATGTATCTCTGTGCCATGATACTAGCAGTGTCAATCATCCCCCGGCATCAGATTCTTTGGCCAAGATCTCAGATAAGTTAATTCAATAGACTATGCTCCAAGAGTCTCATACTGAAGTAGATGTTTTAAGTACAGTTTGTTTTTAATAAAATATTAGTTTTAATATGAAGTTACTAACGTTTTAAGTACAGTTTGTCTGAAACAAAATATTAGGTGCTATGATGTTACTAATGTGACAAGTTGACAGTAAGTACACATTATTCTCTTTGTTACAAGTAATCACTAAGTATGTGTAATGAATCTATTCGCTAGGAGTAAATTCATTCCAAATTACATGTAAAAAGTCAGCTGTTTGCGCATGTTCATTTAAAAGTCAGCTGTTTGCGTATATTAATTTAAAAGTCAGATGTTTGAGTTAACTCAATATCTGCAATAAATTCAGTCGGTTAGACTTGTAACAACAACAAGGGTAAAACATTCTAGACTAGCAAAACGTTGACTCGATCACGTGTCTGTCTTCAACAATATCATCGTTCTTAAACCTGAGAAAGAAAGATGGCGGCATCTCCTTGAAGACCGTACAGACATGTACGTTTTAACAGTATCAAAGTCAAACACATCACGTGACGCTACAAACTCGGACATCATTGGCTAGTTCTGACGGCTGTTTCTTAACTTTCAGACGTCACATCCCCAGATGGTCGGTCTCTCCTCTTTTGACTCACCCAGAGCTGTTTTCTTCCATCAGGGGGTTACTGTAAAATACTTTCTACTTCTGTCGTCAGGCATCTGACCACTGTCCACTAGGTCTTTGTCTTGAAGTGATGTCCCAAGCTACAAGCTGGTCACGATTCTTCGATGACAGCATTGACTGTCTGTGGTCTGCAGGTAGAGCGGTATTAATGTTTGCTGTTATTTCTTGCCGTCATCGTAGTTTTCAGACTCATTCTTTGGTATCTTTCTCAGCTCATGCAAACTATTCTTTGGTATTTTTCTCAAGTGTACTAATGCAAACTGTTCTTCGCTATCTGTTTCAACTGTACTGCTTCTTCTTTCACAGGTTGTTTCCTGTAGCTTGTTCTAGCGGTCTTTTCCCCATGGATTGCACTTTGTTCTTCTGGCAAGCATATATTTCTTTCTCAGCTGTTCTTTGGCAAAGAGATTCTTCTTCTGATTTCTGCTGTCAACGAGAGATGACTGTTTTCTGTTTTCTCAAATGAAGATGTTATTTTTTCTGACGGCAATGACTTTCTTTATGAAATTTGTTCTGACGGCAATGACTTTCTTTATGAAATTTGTTCTGAAAATGACCTGGACCTGAAAACACTAGGGGAAGCCAAGGCGTCATGATGGCACTGGCGGTGACGTCGCTTCCGGTCACTCCTTGACGCAAGCGGACTCTAGATGTTTGTTCAGGTAGGACTTGAGAGCGAAGCTTTTGTTGCATTTGTCGCAGGCAAAGTGCTTGAAGGCTGAGTGGGTCTGCATGTGGGCTCGCAGGTTGGACCTGTCAGCGAATGCTTTCCCGCAATGGGCGCAACCGAAGGGCTTCTCTCCAGTGTGGGACCTCATGTGACCTTGGAGCAGCCAGGGTCGACTGAAGGTCTTACTGCAGATATCGCATGAGTGCCTGAGGTCATGGGTCAGCACGTGCATAGACAAGGCTGGCATGCTGACGTAGACTTTCTCACAATGGGGACATTTTTTGGCGCTCTTGCTGTCCAGGGACCGATGCGTCTGTTTGTGGCGGGACAAGTTGGAGGATGTGGCGTAATCTTTCCCGCACTCGCTGCAGGTGTAACGGACTTTGCTGTTGCTGCTGTCCAGTTCCCCCTCCAGTGCTCGCTTCCTTGACCGCCCGTCGCTGACCAAAAAGGCTTCATAGGTGTAAGCGTTGCTGTCCTTGTTGTGTTGGGGGGATGGTGACGGGATGGAGTGAGGTGGAGTTGGCGGTGTGTGGGTGTCATCATCGGACACTGATTGAAGAGTGGGGGAAGAGGATGGCAGAGATGGGCTGGGAGAAGGCGGGAGGTGAGCGGGATTGATGAGGGAGTGTGACTGAGAAAGTGAGTACAGCTGTTGGTCAAGAGAAACGTTGGAATGGTGGAGATGTCTCCGGTCGCTGGAAGACATCATCGTGTAATGGTGCCTGACTGACTCCTCCATGTCGTCATGTTGATGGCCAGGGTCGTGTAAGTAGAACACTCGATCGTCCTCGTGCTGGGGACTGGCAGATGTGTAGACGATCTGACGGTAGTCGGGCTGCACGAAGTCACTGCTGCTATTGGAGTCGTTGTCGTTGTGGTGGTGGTGGTTGCCATGGTAGCTAACGCTGGGAGGGCTGTCTTCTGGCACGTGCAGTCTCTGGTTGATCAGCTGCTGGATGAGAGGGTGGTTGATTGGGTGATCTGCCGGAAGAATATCCCGACCCATTGGTGGTCTGGCGAACTTCATGTGAGCTGGACTAGGAGACTGAGCACCCAAACAATGGACCTGGGTGGATGTATGAGCAGGGGCTGGACTGAAAGTGTGGGCTGGGAGTGGGCTGGGGACAGGTGTGTGGGCTGGCGGTGGGGAGGGCAAATACCCTTGTGGTGCCCTGTCTTTAACTGAAGGTCCAGTGTCCTGATGGACATTAACATTAAACAGAAATTCCCCAGAACAGACCTCAAACTTTCCTGTCTGCCTGCCGGTCAAGGGGCCACTGTTACCGCTTGCCGCCATGTCTGTGTGTGTCGTCTGGGGGCGGCGATTGGCTGGGTGGTTGCTGTTGGTAACTATGACGCTACTTCTCTTCTGCTGGTTCTTCCTGTCAGCGGAGTCCGTGTCCATGTTAGGGTGCCGGGCCACATCGCCATCGTCTCTATGAACGGGTGACATGTCGATAATGTACCCTGAGATAAAGAGACAACATACATTTATACATCATATTTATACACCTTGTTTACACTCGCACACCATACGGGGATCTGACCCCGGAACAACATAATCAGTAAGTCAGAATGCTAACCATATAACGACTCATCAAGGCGCACACAAACTGAGATGACAATCTGCGTGTCATGTGACTAACACACGTGTATAAAGAGCGGAGAACTCTTCATATGTGTGTAATTAAAAAAAATCACTCACCACACTCATACAAAAATTATATTAGAGCTATTTACAAAGACACCGGTGACTCAGAGAGTTTGTCAGACGCGGAGTGGCGCCACAGGTATCCCGTAGATCTAATGTGCCGGAGTGGGAGCGGACAGGGGAGGTTCCATTAGCGTCTATACAAGTGGTTGAGTAGCTGGAGTCTAGGCCGGTGCCGCAGAAAAATCGATGCTAGGGGCCAACAGGTAGAGCGACGTCTGATTGGAGCCGCTGCTTTCTGTCCAAGCCTGTCCTACAGAGCGGATGTCACATGGTCTGTATAGGGCCGGATCGATACGGTGGAACATGGTCAGGGACCAACTTGCGCGATACACATCCGGTGTGTGGGGTGGGGGGGGGGGGAGTAGGGCTTTGTGTACATGAGTGAGAGATGTATTTGGAGATGTATTTGTGACTAAGTGGCCTGACTGTGTTTGCAAGTAAATGGATTCAGGAGGGTTGACAGCACAGACAGTATTGCTCTCCTGTTCTCAAACAGTTGTAGACAGGATATTATTTATGCACACTTTACAAAACCCGGTTGTTTTTTATCCACAGCACCATCTCCACCGTCTTTGCTAACCACATCTCTCCAAGGTCCACTGTGACTCATCTGTAACACTTTCTTTTACTTCTCTGAGTGCAAATCATTGGATATGAATTCAGATATCTTGCTAGTTCCCTGGCCCTATGGGCTGCTAATGATTTTTCTACCAGACGTATTTATATAAATGATGCTGACGAGAAATTGATTTAATACTGACATACGCATACACATATTTGCCACATAATGGACGTTAGTATAGCAACCATAGCCTTCGTGATGCGGACAACAACAACAATGATGGTGCTATTAGATAATATAGGGGGGGGGGGGTCGACCACGTTCAACCAGCTGCTAGTAGTATTTGGGTTTCTCTCTCTCTGTGTGTGTGTGTGTGTGTGTGTGTGTGTGTGTGTGTGTGTGTGTGTGTGTGTGTGTGTGTGTGTGTGTGTGGCCTTGTTTGTTTGTGCCAATGGTATCGGCTGAAAGTGGAGTGTGTGTGCCAGGTTTGAAGGCTTTGAGTTCCTAACTGGATGAATTCTCGAATCCAACGACAACTCTCAAGTACCCGCATCTACTGGGTCTCACGTCAGGTGACCAACCATCCATGGAGTCTACGCCAGGAACCCAAAGCTGCGGGTTCTATATTTAGCTGACCGGTGAGTGTAGAAATCCATGCCTGCGGTTTATGATCCGGGGTCAGGCGTTTGTCGTGTCGCTGTTGATCTCCATGGCAACTAGTGAGACTCTTTCTTCTACAGTTATTTACGTCAGATGTGTTTCACAGTCAGTGGGTATATGGTGTTATTTCCTCGGCTCAGTGGGTATATGGTGTTATGCTCAGTGGGTATATGGTGTTATTCCCTCGGCTCAGTGGGTATATGGTGTTATGCTCAGTGGGTATATGGTGTTACTTCCTCGGCTCAGTAGGTATATGGTGTTATGCTCAGTGGGTATATGGTGTTATTCCCTCAGCTCAGTGGGTATATGGTGTTATTCCCTCGGCTCAGTGGGTATATGGTGTTATTCCCTCAGCTCAGTGGGTATATGGTGTTATTCCCTCGGCTCAGTAGGTATATGGTGTTATGCTCAGTGGGTATATGGTGTTATTCCCTCAGCTCAGTGGGTATATGGTGTTATTCCCTCGGCTCAGTGGGTATATGGTGTTATTCCCTCGGCTCAGTGGGTATATGGTGTTATTCCCTTGGCTCAGTGGGTATATGGTGTTATTCCCTCGGCTCAGTGTGTATATGGTGTTATTCTCTCGGCTCAGTGGGTATATGGTGTTATTCCCTCGGCTCAGTGGGTATATGGTGTTATTCCCTCGGCTCAGTGGGTATATGGTGTTATTCCCTCGGTTCAGTGGGTATATGGTGTTATTTCCTCGGCTCAGTGGGTATACGATGTTATTCCCTAGGCTCAGTGGGTATACGGTGTTATTCCCTAGGCTCAGTAGGTATATGGTGTTATTCCCTCGGCTTAGTGGGTATATGGTGTTATTCCCTCGGCTCAGTGGGTATATGGTGTTATTCCCTCGGCTCAGTGGGTATATGGTGTTATTCCCTCGGCTCAGTGGGTATATGGTATTATTCCCTCGCCTCAGTGGGTATATGGTGTTATTCCCTCGGCTCAGTGGGTATATGGTATTATTCCCTCGGCTCAGTTGGTATATGGTTTTATTCCCTCGGCTCAGTGGGTATATGGTGTTATTGCCAAATGATTACAGACTCGGCACGGATAGGTTTAGGATATGGTCAGTACTAGATCAGCTACCTTTACGCCCAACAGGTCCTGAAGTGACTTGTGTAAGGCTGGGTCCTCCTGGGAACACTCAGGCTGGGTCCTCCTGGAAACACACAGGCTGGGTCCTCCTGGGAACACACAGGCTGGGTCCTCCTGGGAACACACAGGCTGGGTCCTCCTGGGAACACACAGGCTGGGTCCTCCTGGGAACACACAGGCCTATGAACTGAGGATATCTTTTCCAATATCAAACTACAATTAGAACCTATGTATTATTCTTTGTATTAGGTCTGATTGTATGAAATCTCCGAAACGGCGTTCCTATATGTGTATCCCAGTGTGGTTTCGGGGGGCCCCCAGTGTGGTTTCGGGGACCTCACTGTGAGGGAAACAAAAATAGACCTACTGAACTCCCTAACAAACATGTCGTAAGAGTCAACTTATTCTGGGCTTCCTTTAAAGTCGCAGTGCATTTGCATGAAAGGCGAAGAACGAACAGTCTGCATACAAGTAAGTCAGACATGTAAAACGGATATTAACGCAGCATTCAGATTCTGGATCAAGACTAAAGTCTTGAAGTGGACGAACAACCAGGGTTTTCCATGGGAATTGATAGACAGAAGAACACATCTGAATGTGTTTGACTGTATCAGAAAGAAACATAGCTGAACTTTTACTAGAGCGGTGAAGATGTTCTAATTAAACCGACACCTTAGCGTGAAAGAACGATGACAAAGAACAAACTGGGACACGTTTAGGGGTTGTTCCGAGGAAGATCTCTTGGTGGCAACGTTTGTCGAGAGCCACACGGCCTCACTTCAAGCGTTACCTATTTTCTTTCAACGCCGCGGCACACAGACAACACTAACAATAGACCCATTGTGACAATCCAAACTGGCCTTACCATTCTTGAGATCCATGGGCAGAGACTGGGTCACAGCTGGGGTAAACGGGGTCACCGCTTGATCGCTGTCCTGAGATTCTGGGTCAGTGTTGGCTGTCATTCTCTCCAGGCTGGGTTCCCCAGCTGGGTCACTGTCTCTATTGTGGAGTGTTTGTTGAAGTTTGAAATCGGCGTCATACTTTTGCTTCAAGTATTTCTTGACGAGAAATGACCGCGGCATGGTGCTGCTGCTGCTGCTGATGGCTGCCGTGGTTGCGGGTTGGGGATTCTCGCTAATGGTGATAAAGATTGTTGCAACTGGGGTCGATGGTCCAGTTTTGGGAGTCCACTTGTGGGATCTCACACCCAGCAGCTCATAGCTGTAAACATAGTCAATCTGTAAAGAAGAACAATTACGTGTTTATAGTGACGACAATTACTCGAATAAATTAAGAGACAACCAATCAAATGGCTTGGACATGTGACAGTAATACCAACAGATAGTGCATCACAAAAAGTCCTGTCAATCAGACATCATGGAAGCAGATCAAGAGGCCAACCACGCAAGGCATGGATAGATGGCATTTCACAGACCGTAAATATAAGCATCTACTTGGCGCATTCTAATGCGCGCACCCGATCTCTCTTCAAAACCTGGCGCTGAAAGACAGAACAGGATTAAAGGAGGAGGAGGAGGAGGAGGAGAAGAAGAAGAAGAAGAAGAAGAAGAAGAAGAAGAAGAAGAAGAAGAAGAAAAAGAACAAGAAGAACAAGAAGAACAAGAAGAACAAGAAGAACATGAAGAACAAGAACAAGAACCGGTGTGTGTTAGTCACTGAGATGGTATCGTGACTGTCTTGCCAGCCTGATAGTTCTTGGTCTGTTTTGTTCTTGTGTGTTCTTGTGTGTTCTTGTGTGTTCATGTGTGTTCTTGTGTGTTCTTGTGTGTTCTTGTGTGTTCATGTGTGTTCTTCTGTGTTCTTGTGTGTTCTTGTGTGTTCTTGTGTGTTCTTGTGTGTTCTTGTGTGTTTTTGTGTGTTCTTGTGTGTTCTTGTGTGTTCTTGAATGTCTGTGAGACATTCATTGCCTTTGTTTATGAGTGACTAAATGTTTAATTCAAAAATGTTGCCAGAGCGTTCACCACACGGCCTGTTGCCGAGATTCCCAATGTCTGTTTGTGCTGGAACTTTGTCAGCCTCGTACAGACGTGGCGCAGGAAGCAGTCACAGAACATATCACTTTGGCATGGGACGCAGACCCTATGTGATGGTGAACACTAACTCAGATTGCGGGGACGGCACTTGAATATGATGACAAATAGAACGCATAGTGAGTTTTCCGGGTAAAATCCGATAGAAATGACGTAACCACTACTGTTGTAACCAAGAAAAAACGGCGAAGTGCTTCAGACAAACGTGACTGAGCTAACAGTTGGCTCCTGCGTCACACTGCGGCTGTCGATGAGGCGTATTTGAGGCACTTCTAGGCAGGCCGGTATTGTTTGCTGGCCTCCATAACAGGTGAAGAGCCCAGGTGACAAGGGCGCCATGAAGCAGCCAGAGAACGTTTGGC